CTAGCAGGGGATGGTGCTGTTGGGCCACCAAATCTTACATGTCCCCTGTGGAAGCATGCAGATTGAGAAGCCAGTTGTGTGTGGGCCAACTGCCAAATAACTGGGAAATACATCCTTGCCAAACATCTTCCCCAAAAGCTGTTAAATCTCTCTACTAACCTCTACCCTGCAGTCTTCTGGCACATGCAAGCAACATCAGAAGCTGGTAAGCAGGGGGAAAGCAGGGTAGTACTTTGAAATATGCATAAAATTTCTATAACATGCTTTTTGCATCTCGCTTGCAGAGCTATGCTATCAATGCTGCCTGTCACACACTTGGCAACATCCATGCAGGACGGTGGTAGCATCTTGGGAAGGTAGGTTCCCCCTGTGCTGCAGAAGAGAATAGACATCAAGAGGGGATGTGACTTGCCTGAGGTTAGAGCAAATGTGTACCATGTGCCAACAGCAGTAAGGGACCCCAGATCTCATTTCTGTGCTCTAACAGTCCAGCAGACTCTCAGCAGTAGTATTTGGCTGCGGTGCCAGCTTGCAGACACGGTGTTTCTGGTGTGTGCACCTGAAAGCGAGCTTTGCTCACTGTTGGTATCAGCACTGCACTGAGACAGATTAACTCGGACAACTGGGATCTGCCCTAGGCCAAGAAAGCACTTGGCAACCTTTCTAGTTACTGCTTGTTTTCGTTTTCCTGTCGTTCCATCTGGTGCCCAGCTGGGTCCTTCCTTTCTTCAAAAGCATCTTCATGTTTCTGTTGAGTCACATACAGGGCGTTGCACTTTTCAAGCCTACTGCATGCCATTGTACAGCTTGCAGACCAGTCCGAGGACTGACTTGCATGGAGAGGAAAGGATTCTGCTCGGGATCACAGACCAATGTGTCAGCCAGCACACAGCTGAGCAGAGTGGGTGCCTCCTTTTGGGAAAGGAGCTGGAGAGACAAACCAGAAGCAGCTGAGTCCATCCCGTCTGTCAGGGAGCACAGCATCCTGAAGACCCTTTTGAAGTCCATTCAGCAGGCTTGGTCACTTGCTTTTGCAGTTGCGAGGCATCTACAGGCAAGACAGCCACAACAGCATAGCAGACCCAATGACCAAGCATACATATTGAGGGTAGACATGCAGCAATGTCAGATACGATCCAGTGGCTCATCCAAGGGCTGCCTTCAAGATATGTCTGATAAGATATCAAATGAGCCTTCGGGATGGTTGCCTGGACATCAGCCTCCTTTCAACCAAAATTTATTTACAACCACCAAAAAAGCAGACTAGACCATGCTGTCTAAAGACCTTCGTCAACATTAGGAGGATGTTCCTCCTCACACAGACATCTGGAAATGGGGAATTTGCAGACCAGAGAGACAGAGTTGAGTGCTGAGACCCTGGAGTTCAAAGCCAGCTCACATTAAAGGGTAAAATTAACATCTGATAAAAGGAAAGGACTTGCTTAAACTCAGGTAATTTGGTGACTGAAATTACAGAAAATCCTAACAAAAAACCGGTCTGGCTTTAGGAAGCATCAAATGCAAACTCCTTTGTGGAGGCACCAGCATCAATATCCTTAAATCCTATTTGCATGGTAATTTAGATGGACAGCGATGCAGCCTTTCATACTCCATGGTGTTCTTCCCCTTGGTATTCTGTACAACTCTGGACTGAAAATGGGGCCTGAGAAGACTGTCTGGCTTGGTGCAAAGACTGGAACAAGGAACAATTTGCTTTCTTGCATGCAATCTGCATTTAGGACAGTGCCCAGCAGCTCTGCAGATTTTAGGGCTTTATAATGCTGCAACAGAGAGTCAGGGTCCATGCTCTTTGATTTTGCCTTCTCCAGGCTATGGCAGCAGAGACTGGTCTAAGGAGAGTAGTGCCAGAATGGCCATGTATCTATACACCTTCCTGGGAAGTCACCACAGCGTAACCTCCGACGAGGGCACAAGGAAAACCTTTTGGCTGAAGCAAAGGTCTGAACACGAGACCAGACAGGTTGAGCCAGCCCAATTTGCAGTTAATACACATTGACAGACTGTCCACCATATTCCATAACCAGCCAACAAACATGCCACATGGTCATAACCTGTTTAAGGGGCTGTGGTTCAGAAAGGTTAGTGTTCAATTTTCTACGATAGCCACATGTGCATTGCCTTAATCCATTCAACCTTCCTGATAACGACCCTACACAGGTAACTACTTTTCCCCACCCCTTCTACTTTATTCCCCTAATAAAATATATGAACACAAAGCATAGAGAGGAGAAGCCAAGAAATCACCATTTTATGGTCCTGTACTGTCATGCCAAACCAGCTATTTGTGCAACCAACTCCTGTGCGCAGGGAAAAACACTTGGCTTGTGCTTCGGTCTGGATTTGGAGGAAGCACTGAGTGTAACATTTAAATTAATCTCTCTCCCTCCCTAAAGGGTTTTGCTAGAAGCAGATGCACATCACACAATGCAAATGGCTGAGGGCAGTTGCAGGGCTGCAGGGTTGAGGAATGCCTCAGGGCATATGGCAGGCAAAAACCAGCAATAGGGGCAATAAAAGGACTTGGTCGTGGTGCCATGGGGCAGTGGTTATCAGGGAAGGTCTGTCCTTCAGAGGGGAGGTGTTAACCCTGGGACATACAGTGTCAGCAAGCCTTATTTGGTCTTAGACTGAACATGATGGCAGCGTGACAGAGACCAGTGGGACCCGCAGTCCTCCATGGCTGACCCATGTAAATAGATGGCTTGTTGCTCTAGCAGGCACACCGAAATGCTCCAAGCTCCTGAGCAAGGGCTGTGGGAAAGGCCAAGTGTGTGCAGCCCAGCTGGAAGGCACAGAGACTGACCCAGGAGGATAAATGCGATGAAGACGTTGCATGGTACCAATGCTGAACTGCAAAGTCCTTCTTTAGAAGAGTGAAGGCTAAAGAGACTCTGTCATGTCCGATTGGATTTGGTATGACCCTGCTGTTTCTGTTAGGTTCTGACTACATTTCCCATAAAAAAAGACTCCCTAAGGAATGTTTTTTCCCTTTTATTTTTTTTCCCT